TGAAATCTCTGAAGAAGAAATTAGAAAATCTATATATGATCTTAAATCAAATAAATCACCAGGCACTGACGGGATACCCCCAGATCTGTACAAACTATCATGTAATATTTTAATTCAATATGTGAAGATGCTATTCAACAAGATTTTGGACAATAGTCTGTTTCCTACAAACTGGAATATCGGCGTTATTATACCACTGTTTAAATCTGGATCCAAGAAAGAACCATCGAATTATAGAGGAATATCAATACTCAATTCAATGGGAAAACTTTTTATTTCAATTATAGAGAAAAGATTAAGGACGTGGGTTGAGTTAAACGAAATATTATCCGAAAGTCAAGCTGGTTTCCGCCCTCAGTATTCAACTACTCACCATATTTTTACTCTTCAGGCTTTGTGTTCGAAATATTTGTGCAAACCCAAAGGTCGTTTCTACTGTGGTTTCGTTGACTTTAAAAAGGCATTTGACTTTGTGGACAGAGATAAACTGCTATATATTTTGATTCAACGCGGCTGTCACGGAAAGATAACTATGTTGCTTAAAAGTATGTACGCATCGGTGAAAGCCAGTGTAAGAGTGAATACTGATTCAAGAACTGAAACTTTTGATACTTCCCGTGGAGTGAGACAAGGGTGTATTCTCCGCCCCCTCCTCTTCCTTCTCTTTATTAATGAATTTGCAACAGAGCTCTACCAATCAGGCAACAATGGAATTCTTGTTACGCAAGATATACAAGATCTATTACTGCTAATGTTTGCTGATGACATCGTCCTTTTTGCTACCAGTGTAATAGGTCTACAGCGCCAGCTTAATATCCTGGAATCATTCTGTATCAAATGGGGATTACAGCTGAATCTTAATAAAACAAATATCATAGTGTTTCGCAACGGAGGAATTCTGAGACATTCTGAAAAGTGGACCTTTGTAAAAATCCTCTTAAGGTGGTTACATACTATAAATATCTCGGCATAATATTTTCATCTAGGCTCGTGTGGACAAAAGCCTGTGAAACACTTGCTTAACAAGAAAGTAAAGCCTGCCTCTCTGTTTTCAGACTTTTTAACAAGTATCAAGAACTAACCTATTCAAGTGCAAGAACTATATTTGATCGAAAAGTGGCACCTATACTACTATACGGCTCGGAAATATGGGGACATAAATATTCTGATGTAATCGAGAGGGTCCATACTATGTATTTCAAACGATTTCTGAAAATTGGAAAATGTGCTTCAAACAAAGCCACATTTGGGGAGCTTGGACGTCACCCCATCTACGTATTAACACAGATTCGAGTAATCAAGTTTTGGTTCAAGATACTCAGTATGAATGAACAACGTTATCCACTGCAGTGCTACAGAATGCTAAAAACATTTGATGATATGGGCCGAACAAACTGAGCATCCAATGTTAGAAACTTATTATTCAGAAACGGGTTTTCTCATGTCTGGTTAAACCAGGGCGTTGCTAACGTTCAGCTATTCATGTATACTTTCAAACAACGATTGAAGGATATCGCCTACCAAACTTGGCACAACGAAATCAACAGCTCCACTTTTTTCAGTCATTATTCACAGTTTAAACATGAACTTTGCCTGGAGTCCTACATAACAGAACTAAAATATAAACATCTGATCCGTTTCGTGTTTCGAATAACAACTTTAAAGTGAACATGTACAGACTTAATGAGGATGCCCCACGTACGAACTACTTGTGTTCATTCTGTGATGCCGCGGAAACATAAACTGAGAATCACGTATTCTTCCGATGTGTCAAATATCAGCGGTACAGAGACAGTTACTTCAAACAATTACAAAATGTCTACAAAGGCCCACTCACTCTGCAGTCAATTTTGCAATCCAAAAACCCCCAAGTTATATACTGCACAGCACTATTTTTACATTATGTTTTAAAAGTAAGATCCCAATACTAATTATGACCACTGTTTCACGAAACCGCCAAAGTTTGTGACTGTATTATAGGCCATGAGGCCGATATTACGAATAAACTTCTGTCTGTCTGTCAATGAATACAGTATAAAAGTGGGCTATAGATCGCCAACAACTGGAGGTAAATCACCATATTAGGGACCATGGGGACTTACAGTGGCTTAGAATAGAAATTGACAAATTGAGGCCAGAACAAACAAATAGAAACCAGAACAAAATAATTAGCACCGATATTGATAAAGCAATGAGTACAGATAATAATCAAACAATGATCAAAGTCCCAGGCCCTGGGCAGGTGGGCTCCCTGGTGGCGGGTCATGGCTGGCTGGTGTCTCCCGATGTCAATGGCTTCTTGCGGTTTTCTTTGTCGCCAGTTGTTATTGGTTGGTGGACAGGACATTGGTGGCTACCCACATGATGTAATGATCTTGGTTCTTCAGGATGTGTTCAGAGATGTCGGATTTCAAGTCTAGTTTGTTGACAGAGGACAGGTGTTATTTGAGTAAGGGGTCTGAGGGTTTCTCCGATGTATTGGTAGCCACAGCTGCAGGGGATCTGGTAAATATATCCTCTGGGTCTGGGACTAATGTTCATAATTGGATATCACCATATTTACAACTGGTTCTACATACAAGTGTGTTGCAGACTGGAAAAAAACCCAGAACACTTCATATGATGTTTTAAGTAAAACTTCTTCATACGATGATTCACGTAAAATTTTTCATAAGATGTTTCACACAAAAAAACAGTTATTCATTTTCGTCTTGTCGATGCAGTCATGTTGAATTAACCTAAAATGGCTATACATGTCAGTACCGGACGTACATGCGTTGGGTTGTCTCCGACTCTGGATTGTCTCCCTGTTTTCAGAAACCACTCCCATTCCCACTGTATGTAATGCCAATCAAATATAACATAATGGAATTGACTTGCTAGCCATGCTTTCGTCGCAGATGTTACAAACGTTAATATTCTAGTCGTGCCGAATGACACAGTTATTATTGAAACCGAGCCAGCATTCTATCACTGGCGAGCTGTCGACCAAAAGGTGGGATAATTTTCAAGTTCTTCTTAAAAAATCACAGGACATATTCAAAAACCTTCTGAATCAAATGCAACACAGATCTTTTGCCTCTAACCAAATCCGACTATGATGTACGATTCCGACGTTACTGTAAGTATGTGATCACGAATCACAAAAGAAACCAGGCATTCGTTAAGAGGTGATACTGTCCTACCCATTCGACAGCGCCCGTCACCAACAGATAAAGGTAAGATATTGATCACCTTAAAAGCTCATATGAACATTATTCCAATGTTTGTTGTTTCCATTTGGAAACATTCAGGACGAACAATGCACGGAAAAAGAACAAAGTTTGTAGATCACAGCTCACAAGTAGAGTGTCACCATTCAGCCAGATCGTCTAAGACTCTGTATTTCAACCAGCCTTTAGCTCTATCATCCAACATGGTCAGAGCATTTTTCAAGCCAGCAAGAGCATAATCAGTGAGTGGTCCTTTATCCCACGTATTCGACTGCCTGCATAAAACATGTAATCGCACAGCAGCTGCTACGAAATTTTCGTTTGAATGTTTGACACCGCGTTAGACGTGTGTTATCTTATATTATTACAATTGTGTTTCCAGCAGAGATGTCTAGTATTATGGAAAGGGTAACTTTTATTTACTCAGAAATATGATAGCCCAATTGAATTTTTTTACTCATCTTGAAGTAAAATATACTCGAATACATGACAGTCTTTATGGATAACAACTTCACGACGTTTCTGAGCTAATTCTTGCTCCTTCATCAGGTGAATGCTGAGTCAGTACAAAGAGTGAATATATGTAGAAAGAAACATGTTTACACAATTCAAAGAGGGAGAATGTACAAATACATTAGTATAATTACGAAGCCAGTTAGATTGGATTAATGCACAAAGATAACAATGTATTGCATGACAAAGCCAAGAGTGGGAGTGGGGTGTGTTCATGTACAAAGGTAACAACTTAATAAGGAGCCAATGATAACAACATGATAGGAAGCCAATTAGATAGGATTAATGTACAAAGATAACAATGTAAAGATGAAGCCAAAAGATTATAGGACAATAGAGTATACACTGGGAAGGTAAATGCATTGGCAGCCATTAACCGAGACAAAGGGAAGTGTGAAAAGAACAAACATCGTACACAACTCAGACCTCAACTCCGTTGAATATAACATATTCCGCTGTAGTTAGCCGTGCGGTATTAACATGTCTGACCTGACATGGATGAAGTCAGGAAAACATGTTTCAGCCATTCTAACCACGTCAGCAGTCTAGCCTCGGATGCTACACAGAGTTTGCCTGAGAAAAACAACAACCTAAAAACGTCAGTTACACAACCAGCGCATGTTCATTAAAAACAGAAAGAAATTTAAAATAATTTAAATAGAACACAAACACGTACCATCCCTTAATCTTCGGAGCTTCGTCCAGACATGGAGGGTACCATGTCCTGACACGACAGACGGACTAAACTTTACGAGAGAGATTGCCAATTAAGCTTCACGGAACAACAGTGAGTGGACAGACGATTTGTACTCGGCTGCATAAACGGGACCTGCATGCCCGACTTCGACTAACAGACCGCAGTATTACATTGTTGGTGTCAAGGGCGGATTTCGAATGAATCAAGGTTTACTTTGGACTTCCTTAACAGGAGCTACTTAACAAAGCGTGCCGTTAACGTGAGACAGAAAGATCGTGTTTGGGTGACTCAGTAACAGTATTAGGTGGGATCATTGTAGACTGCCAGAACAGCTGTACATGTAATTCAGGGATGTGTCACCGGGCAGTACTACGGTGACAGTGACAAAATCCTGGGGGCACATCCTGTGCCATTTGCGCGCCATCATGGACGTCGTTAATGTTTCAGGACGACAACGTAAGAGCACACAAGACTCGTACTGCAGCTGAGTCCCTCTAACAGGCGAACATAATCACCTTGCCGTGTCCAGTACACAGTCTAGACTTGTCACCCATCGAAAATATCTTGCATATCATTAGTTGGACGGCGCGTCAACAACTACTGAACACTCTGAACTTGGCGCTGCACTGCAGGAGGAACTGGATGGAATGGACCAAGCTGACGTTGGACGTTTGCTCATTAGTATATCTTGTCGAATCCTGGATTGTCCTGAGAATAGAAACGGGTTCACACGATATTAATGAGTTGACTTTCCTATGGTAAATTAGGTGACTGTAGGTCGCTTTGGTTAATCATTTGACAATATGATGGTCATCTAACGTTCAACGACTAATGCGAATCTCAATCACTCCTAAACTATTTATCTCATTAAAGATATAAAATATCAATAGTTGTGAATATTTACTATCCCCTACTTCTGTATATGTCTTCATTGCTAACCCTCTTCTATCTCAATGGGGCGGTGGGGTAACCTAGTGGTTAAAGCGTTCGCTCGTTACGCCGAGGACCCGGGTTCGATTCTCCACATGGGTACAATGTGTGAAGCCCATTTCTGGTGTCCCCCGCAGTGATATTGCTGGAATATTGCTAAAAGCGGCGTGAAACCAAACTCACTCACTCACTCTTCTATCTCAAGTAATGAACACATTAAATTATCACATATGTAAACTACCGGGCAAAAGAAAGTTATCACCAACTTCACTTGACCAAAAACTAGAAATAAAGACATATGTGAGATTTATGATAATTATTTTACAAACAAAAATAATTTTCCAATAAAGTGACTGAAAATTCATTGTAATGTTGGTCTTGCATTTGCCGCAATTCATTAGGAAAGTGTCAATGGGGTAAAGTAAAAAAATTACACAAATCAGACTTTATTCATAAAGTGCATAAAGAGTCAACACTACATGTCTGTATTGCTGGGCATTTACATATACTCGGATGACAACCAGTATTGTTGCTCTCCAAGTCACGTCGCTGACACAGTTCGTGTCCTGTTTGCTGGTAGCGGCTTATCAATTTGTTGATGGTGGCCTGGCTACAGGTGAAGGTACTTGCCAGGTGACGTCGTGAAGCCCCCATATTGTCCATATCGACCGCACTGTTTCATCGTGCTTGCGTAAGTCTGAGCATGTTCGTGTTGTTCTTGTTGGTTTGTTTTTGGTTACTGCATGCTTGTACATGTGTTGTCCAACATAAGTATTTATGCCACTATCATGCACGTGCATTTTGGACCAACGTCACACAATTACGTTTTTCACGTTTTCAAAAATGCACGATTCGGACAGCTGACCGGGACCATGATGGCGAATGCTTTCAGCTTGGGTTCAAACCTGTTCCAGCGTTTTTGTCTTTTATACAATTACTTTCAACCTTGTAACGTTTTTGCTCTCTAGTTTTTATGAATTAATTTGATTTTGCCAACACACGTTTGCTCATTGACGTCGTCAGGAATCCTGTGGTACACGCTGCTCCTCTCCAGTTAGTTTATATGAATTAATTTGATTTTGTAAACTATTGACAGTGTAACCATGAACGTAATCATTCGAGCACAATTTTGCATTTGCTCACATACAAGATGTGTTCTCAACTACATCTTCAAAACGAGTCATTGTTTTTAATAAAATCTGATCGTAAGTATTCTTAATCAAAACACACCACCTATCAACAATGTATTAAAGCGTGTTTCCTGGGTTCGTGGTGGCGGTAGAGAATCGATACCAAATTTTCACTGGCTTTGAAGTTTGGAAGTTATAGAATGTAGGGCTTATCTCGTCTAAATCGGTAGACATGCACAGCCGCACAGCCGGTTATCTCCCAAAACTTCTAAAAAAGTCAACGCAGAATTATGCACGTACCTATGGGTATAATGGAACAGCCCGGGTGGGATTATAGAGGGATTAGTTGGGACTAGAGGATTAAAACAGGTTCAGTAACAATATATTTCTTACTGAGTAAGATGAAAGAGTTTTATGTGTAATTAGTATACTGTAACAAAATGATCCAAGCTCACCAATTCAGTGGAGATATGCAACAGTTATAATTAATTAGCTTATAAAAACTTGTCAACAGTCCAAAATGCAGTTGATATTACAAACTGAGTCTTCTCACTTTATAAGAGATTAAAATGTAGTATATAACCTATGTCAACCTTCAGTAAGAATATGCAAAATGGCTGGCATACGAAAGTAGAGTTGTAACGTCGCAGAAAGGAAGCCCACAAGTCTTGCTAGATGGTTATGTCTACAACAAGAATGTTGTCCGACAAACCTGCATACACTGGAAGTGTGGAAGTCCACATGCAAAGGAAGACTATCAACGTCGGGTGATTTTGTTAGGAATGTCACGGACCACAACCATACTCCAGAAGAAAGCACGAAAATACGCTTCGTCAGCAACTTAAGAAAGAGAGACAGAGAAGAGACTGTCCAGATGTCATCCCTATACAATGACGAGGTTGCCAGACATGAAGACGTTCGATTCCTGCCATCTTTCCCCTCCATGAGCAGCGCCCTGTACAGACATAGAAGAAAGAACATCCCAGCACTTCCACAGACAAGATCCGAGGTTGATCAAAACGGCGCCTGGACAGAGACAACTGATGGGAGATCTTTCCTTCTGTTAAGTGATGGGGATGACGACAAGATGCTAGTCTTTCCAACAAGTGAGCAGCTCCAGGCGCTTCAGTTTGTTTGCCTTCTCCCTGACCGCCAGTCAACAACTTACACTAGACTGTTCAGACTTCTCAAGACTGAAGTGCAACAAAGGCTGAATCGTCCCCTAGCACCCGCCCGTATTCAAACTGACTTTGAGATTGGCACCATCCGTGCAGTGGAAAGTGAGTTTCCTGGTATCGAAGTGAAGGGATGCTTCTTTCACTACTGCCAGGCCATTTGGCTCAAGACTCAGGACCTCAGACTGGCCGTTCAATATAAGGAAGACCCTGCTGTCCAGACATGGATCAGAAGAGCTTCCGGTCTTGCCCTTCTCCCCGTAAATATCGTCTAGGACATTTGGGTTGATGCCATGGAGTCAGCCCCAGATGTGCCTAGAGCTACTGCCTTCAACGACTACATTGTCTGCTCGTGGATCGACGATGACACCGGAATCCCCATCCAACTTTGGAATCATCACCTGACAGTCGGACCCCGCACCAACAACAACTTGGAGGGATTCCACAGCAGACTCAACCAGACCTGGCCCCATCGCCATCCAAATATCTTCAGATTTACTGAAGTGATTAAGAAGATTGAGACTACAGACAAGGCAAAGATTGCTCAACTTGAATTTGGAGCAGCCCAACCCACAAGAAAACGTGTCTACAGGGAGAATCGACTGATGCGACTGAAGGACTAGCTGCTCACCAGGCAGAAAATACCACTGGAATTTCTAGATGATGTCGGTCGCCTCCTAAAACTTGCCTAATGATTTTACAAATATCAGACATTATGTTGTGACATTTCCAATTGCTGACGTTGTTGTAAGACACAAACCATTTATTGTTGAAAAAATCTCATAAAATATTGATATATTACATGTTATGATATTTATATGTCAATAAACGGTTCATCATGACCTCTTGTACTTTTATTCAACTTGATCTTAAGCCTAATTAAGCCTAACTAGTCGGACTAGTCCGCCCAGTGCACTTGAGGTAAGGGACAGGGGATTAGCTGTGCACTGGACCATGTATTTTGTTGTTTTAGTCTGTAGAAGTTTTGGCTTGTAGAAGTTTTGGCAGGACGCCGCACAGCCGCCCAATCGCGTATCAATAGAGATGAAGTGCTATTAAACCCGTTACGTTCGAACGCACATGTATACTCTCTGCGGTTTTTGCTTCCATTAGTGTTGAAATAATATGTTTTTAGTGTTGTTTCGGTCGAGCAGACAAACATGAACATCATTAGTACATGTATGTACATGTTTAATCATTCTTGCTGTTTTCAACAAAAGGGTATAATATATACATTTTGCGACAGAAACATTTCTTTTTTACTTTTATATGTAAGACTACTGGGGAGATCGGATGGTCGGACTCGATGATTTAGTTGATGCAGGACGTCTTGTCCAGACTCGATCATTTACATGTATGTGGATATTGGTCTCTCAGTTCAGAACTGCGTCTCGCCAAGATGATATTCGTTTCTTCATCTGTGAAATGGTTTCACACTGCACGTTTTACATTCAATACATTTTAATCGATTCCCCACAGTCCTCGCACGTATCTGACTTAATGACAGGGGAATCGAATAAAGTCGGACCTCGACGATTCGAACAGAGATTTTCTTATTGTAAATTTATTGTCTCCCTGACTTTGTCTAATTTAACAATAATTAAACCTCTGTTCAAGGATACAGTCCCTAACATTCTTAGCTCTTAATTCAATGTACCTATTTAAAAACTGTTTTAAATCGCGCAAAACCACATTAAAAATGTTTCTGGCAATTATATTTCTTAGAAAGTATTCAATGTTTTCTGGCATTATAAAACCGAAGGCCCTTTAAAGACCCCTGTGATTGTCTGGTCACAAGGGCTGCAGAGCGAGGGATCGTCACTTTTTCATAAATGTTCGTACGTCCATCTGGATTGGCCTTCATGGCATCGTCCCATAATGACATATTAAATGGAGGAACGTGGTTTGATGAAATAAGAGTGTCATGTACTTCACGCTAAAATCACACAGAGTTATTATTGATGTATTATTATATGGGTATTTATATAGCGATGTAGTCCATCTACATGCATGCTCAAAGCGCTTTGTTTTCCCTCGATCATTGGATGTCAATCTCAACGGCACATCGTATTTTCAATCTCAACTCCCTGGGGAACATACAACTCATGCAGCCACTAATCGCACCAAGTCAGTGTGGCTTTCCCATCCTCATGAGATACCCATTCACAGCTGGGTGGACTGGGGCACATAGTCACAGTACTTTGTCCAAGTTTACTGCATGTTGCTGTACCCGTAACTAGGCACCTTAAAGTCGCCTTAGATAAGCTCGCCCACCACGCTCCAGTTACCCGTTGAAACGGACGGAACTGTTGAAACTCAAGGGGCGGTGGGGTAGCCTAGTGGCTAAACCGTTGGCTCATCACACCGAAGACCCGGGTTTGATTCCCCACCTGGGTTCAATGTGTGAAGCCCATTTCTGGTATCCCCTGCCATGACATTGCTGGAATATTGCTAAAAGCGGCGTAAAACCCAAATCACTCACTCACTCACTATTGACACTCAAACCAAACCTTAAGTACAGTAACATGGACAGTGATATTGGGCACGTCAACATTTTATACGCGGAAGAGCAATCCCAAGCGTGTCTGCATTGTTGTACACAAACCTATTTTTTTGAAACCGGTTAAGCAACTGTAGGCGAAACTGGATGCAGTCAATAGTAGCTGTCACGATTCGATAGTCGTACGGTATAGTGACGAAGTGATAGGTCTTCTCGTTCCTTCAGACCCATGGATGTGACACCACTTTACAGCATCATAAAGCACGTCCCCGTGGTATGGTCACAGACTACATTAGATCACAGAACCTTCCAACACGTGTTGATACTGTCATGATAAATTCATGGTTCCTGGATATCAATATATGTTGAACAATCGGTCTTTGCGTACATTCAGTTATTATATGTAATTCCCATGAAACTCAGTGATGCACATGATCCTCTTTCACGCAAGCACATGTGTCGTGTCGTAACGAGGAAATATGCTCATCGTCGTTGGCCCTTAGGGGTCAATATTGAATAGAGTATATTAAATAAGGGTGACTATTGAGGGGGAAACAAATATTGCGATAGCGATAGTCTATTGCAACATACTATTGCGATGGTGATAGTCTAGTACCACCAACTATTGCTATAGTGTTTTTTCTCTCCTTTGAAGTCATTTCCCAAATGAATGTATAGTTATATGAAACAGAAACAAGCTGAAGTAGTTTCAGTCTCTTTTAATAACTGAAAAGAAATGTGAAACACAGCTCATGTTTGTTTTAGAGGTAACCGGGGGCGGATAGCTCTAAATCAATGTGAACGTATCTGGTACTTCCTGTATTTGCGCTGCGCATTTATCAACGGAAGTCAATTACTCTACTATCGATTGTCACACATACTATCAATGCATCGATAGTTTTTCGTTTCTACCATCGATTAATTGCTATCGGAGACTCAACAATTACAATCCATCGATAGTTCAATGCATCGTTACAGTCCTAATATTAACAGAATCTTCTAAGTATCCACTTCCACCTTTACGTATTTTTTCACTGTATTTTTATCTGTATCCCACTCAAACAATGTATCCCATAAATTTGATTTCGTAGAAAATACACGCATCAGTATTCGTACAATCTGGATACGTGTTCCACATCCGTTGTTTTCGATCTCAGACCGACTGGTGCGGATACCATGGACTTGTGGATGGAATAGTCCCAGTTTTGTGACTTCACAATATACTGTGGGACCGCAGAAAATCTTTTTTTGCACGTCTGTAATATGTGCAACGTGTTGAAATAAATAACAAGGGCCATGTTTAAGAATTACCATGGGTACAGATATAAGAGCGAAGAGAGATATTTAATCACGATAAAAATGTTCTTCTTTCTCGTTACCGCCCGACCTATCTTTCCCACTTCTAAGTTTTGATTTTCTATCAGACAAAAGGTGTAAATTTCCACAGAAATCAAGGGATTTTGGACATAAAATAAAATACAAAAATAAAATGTACCAACCCGACCCACTGATGAGAAACAAGAATATTATTATGTGTCCTTAACACGCTGTCTGGCCCTTAGGCACCAAGGAACCTATATGAGTGTTGTGATTCTAGGTGTATCAACACCATACAGCGTCTGTGCTGCACGCCTGGTGACCCTTCGAGACCAAAATCAAAGAGCCTTGAAGTGGTTGCGCACGGTCCTGGTTGACAAACGTCTGTTGGGCACTCAAGGGCTGCTTCAAACGAGCACTCGTGGCGAAAGGTTCACGCCTCATGTAGTTCGAGTGGTTACTTTGGTTACCCCTGCCTTGGTCGATCTTTGATCAATTATCCAACATGTTGAGGGTAAAGACTTTGTAAGTGAATTTTTCACAGAATTTGAGATGGCAAGGTACTCATGTGATGGGACTGTGAACAGTTTTGGACAAACATTACTGAATTTGTGCTCAATATTGAACATACATATAGTAAATGGGAGATGTGGAAGTGATTCTGGCATAGGTGATTTTACCTTCTTAGGTCATCTAGGATGTAGTGTGATTGACTATATTCTTGCGTCCACGAATATGTTCCAAAAAATTGCCAACTTCTACATCGTGTCACGGTCTGAATCCCATCATCTGCCTATACAGTCAGCATACCCGGTAGTTCTCTTCCGAACCCGACCACTACCCATATAGATCAGTGCAAGTACATTTGGAAGGAGTCTTGTAAACTTTCTTCAGCATATGGGACCCTCTGAGACTTTAGCATTAATGGAACAAGCAGCCGTGTGTTCATTGACTAACGTAGCGGAAGCAGTCTCGATATTTACGGACGCTATCCTTTCAGCTGCCTCCATGTATAGACGACAGGTAAGTCACAAAAGTAACACTTCACCTTGGTACGATAGTGAATGCCTCGTCAAAAAGCATGAACAATGTCAGTTTCTAAATGCTTTTACAAAATCAAGAGACAAATCCAACTTGATGAAATATAAGAAAACATGTGGTGAATAAATAAGTCCTTATGTCGAACAAAGAAAGAAGAATATATTCAACGTCAGAGAGATGATCAAGAGACCTCGACAACTGACTCGAAGCGATTTTGTGGTACAATAAAACGTTTATCAGGACGCAAACAGCGCTCAAACCCCATAGACAGTGGAGACTGGGTGGATTATTTCTCTACCCTTTACGGCAGTCAAGATAATTTACAATGCACTAATGATGATATACATGATCTAGAAGATCCCCTAGATTCTATAAGAGAAATCACTGAAGATATTCTTGATTCCCCCTTTCCAAGAT